AGACATAAAGGGCAATTCCAAACGAGGATATGGGCGGGGGTGTAAACTAAGCGAGTTTGTCCCTTGAAATGTGGTATCATAACGTACTAGCCGGAGGACTAGTACCGGTAGGCTAGAGAAAACACGTCAGTTGAGACCTGAGGAAACCAACTTGAACATGACAGCACCAGAAACAACAATTGGGGTAGGTGAATATTGACAGTGCTCATGTTACTGCCGCTGCTGGCCGTTCCAGAAGTTGTGATCGATGCCCCAACATAGACTGGGTGCAAACATGTCAGAGTTGAAGTCCCGATGTTAAATCAACTTACGTGATTCGTGCTCATCCGAGTCCGGCCCTTGCAAAGGAAAAAAAAATTGTTGCACTCTGCCGCGGCTAATAGCTAAGCAATAGCTTCACCAACCGCATTGGAGCACGAAGTCCCAGGTTTCACATCCTTGGCGACAGTTGACATTGCAGTTTGCTTGGCATACTACGACAACACTGTTGCAAGCTGGAACGGAGTCTTGGCCCTAGTACGGGCATCGCTAAGGTATGGAGTTACTTGTTGGGCGAGCTACAATTGTACAGATTAGCGATCATCCTCAAAGAGGGGCGCTAAAACACTCACAGAGATACCAAAGTTGAATAGCCCGAGGACTGCATCGCTGAGAGTCTTGAGTTGTTGCGATTTGAGTGTGAACAGAGCCTTGGCACTATGAGCAATGCTAACTTGGAGGTGTGACTTTGTTGAAGCCGCTAGCAACAATCTGTGACTTGATCATTTCAGCATTATATCCCGATAAAGCCTGCAGAGCAAACAAGGCTTTGAGCCGTGCGCTGTTTCGATGGAGAGTCGGGTGCTGTCGATGCGAAATAGGTAAGGAAGGACGACTGTGGACGTTGAAGCTGCAGTAGACTGGAAGGGAGAGCGCATGTTTTTGTGAAGTTTGCGAGGTGTAAGAAGCGACTATTATTTATGCACTGGGTTGAATATTTGAGCAACTAGCATGAATTTAACGCACATTTGGCATGCCAAAGTTTCAGAGTGCTCTCGTCTTGCAGGCACTCGAGCAGCTCGTTGATACATGCTTGCACGAGCTGTGCATGGAGTTCCATGTCCTTATCAAAAAGATCCACAGTAAGCTTCTGTGATAAATGCAGGGGCATAACGAAACGCACAACATACATCCTGCCTTCTCACAATGACTAGCCACTCCAAGAACTTCCTTGCTGCACTGGAATGTAACTGTTGCAACTCGGAAAGAATGGTGAGATCCTCCTCTCGGTCTTTTTCTTTTGCAGACCTCTTGGCCGACATAAGAAGCTACACCATAACATGATGAGTTGCGCACATCTACTATCTGTTACAGGCATCCGTAACACCTACTGGAGCCCCAGCTCTGCCTACACCAGCCCCCGCTCTGCTAGACTCCCGACGCAGCGGCACGCCGCCTGCACTTAGAAAGACAGCGGTCTGGACCGCTGTGACGCTGCCCCTGGCGCTATGACCCGCCCCTGGCCTAGATGGCCTTGTACCTGATCCATGGAGGCTGTACGCCTCATGGTCACCCTAGATCAGCGCATGTGTACAGCATGTCACTTCATGAAGATCCAGAGCGCCCTTGGCGCCTCATGGTACTTATGCGCAGTCGCACTTGGCGCTGCATGCTTGATCAGAGGTTAAGCCTCATGTACCTTATCTGACCTCATGTCTTGTTATCATAGATCCTAGATATACTATAGATTACAGACTGAGCTAGAATACTTACATGTAGCACATATAAGTAGACAGATTATTGTACTTAGACTTTACTAGGTTCATTCCAGAACTTGTTCAGCTAAGCCTCCCAGCTCAGCTGCCTAAGACCGCACTTCTAAGTCGCTCCCCGCTTCTTAGCCATATCCGCTAGCCCTGTATCTCGACGAGCGCCGTCTTACCGAGATCACCGGAGGAACCCTTGACGTTCCGTCAAGCCGAGAACCACCCTCAGCTTCAGTAGACTCACTCGAGTCGTCGCTGAGAAGACCTATCCTAGTTCGCACATGCCGACCGACGGTCAGCGTAACACTATCGTCTTATGCTTACCATAAGCCCTCGCTCTGAATCTCGTTCTATTAGCCATATTCCGCATTTTTGAAGCATTGCCCTGTCTTTTCCCTGTTTTGATTCTAGCAAGGCAAACATATTACTCAGAGGGTCCGACACGGAAGAATCACTATATCGTCCCTCAACCAATCTAAGGTGAACATCAGCATTGTCGGTCTCTGTTGAATAATGGCAGGGTCAAAGCAGTACCTACCCCTTCCAAATATCCATCACTTGTCCTTCGTCGCCTCTGGCCCTGAGTAATGCACATAGAGCACCTACTTCTCCAGCTTCAAGGAGTACAGGTTCCACAGCTGAAAGGCTAGCAGAATTTGTGCTCTCAAGGTGAGAAACGAGAGAGGCTGTATCCGTCACCTGGCAATTCCTTTAGAATCATATAACTCAAACATAAGATCGTATAATAACCTCCTGCTGCTTGTGCTTTCCTTGTCCCTTGAAGCCTTGGAGGATAGACTTGATCATCACTATGGCTTCTTCCCGAAGAATCTTAAAAATCTCCTGGGTAGCAGTGCCTCACGAGTGGAGGGCGGGAGATGAGGGGAGTAATTCCTGCCTAGGTTTGTGGCAACTATCAGTTCCGCCCAGACAGGGGAGAGGGTGGGTGAGTCAGAAAGAGGTAGCAGCGCACGGTCGGGAAGAGAAGGATGGGAAGGGATATTTGATAGATTTGAATACTCACTAAGATCATCAACATTTGCCTCGATGCGCATTCGCTTTGCAATACTGTCATACATGTCTGCCTCCTCACCATCAGTGAACAATGACCGCAATAACTCAGGAAAGTAGGATACAAGGATACAGGGATCCAGTCCACCTTCAAGAAAGTGTGAGGTTGCATCCACAAAACGTGTTTGAGAGAACAGGGCAAACACGATAGCTTGGTGTATGTATTCCAGTGTCTCCACCTTTTGGACCGGTCAATATTCGTCTGGCAAGCAGATAGAGTAACAGCACCTCATCAGAATATAATGCCAGACCAGATGCGAAGTTGTTTGCGAGGTCAACAGCATCCTTGATTTGGTTGTTTTCGAGCAGTGCTTCGACTTGAGCAATGACAGTCAATTGAACCAGCGAATGAACAGTGTCCTGTCTGTAAATCAAAATGGAAGAACGGAGGAAAGAACCATGGCGCATCCCGACAGACTTGCCAGTGCGTACAAATACTAACGAACTTTCAGTTCCTCAGTTTCAGAAGGATGCAAAAAAAGTTAATAGTCGGGTGCGGTTGATATCCAAGATGAAGCCGGCTTATGGTTAGAATGACTTGTTACTACTTTGCAGCGTAATTGATTAGTAAGCACTTTACCTGCCGTGATGAGGGCAAACTTGCAAGCTTAGGTATCCATAACGCCAGGTACTTAGTACTTCCCGACATTGCTGCCATGCTCGATGAAGACACAATAAACTGGGACGCGCTATGAGCTCAGAGCCTTCTCCCTGGTGGGTTTGGAAAAGAAAGAACATGTGTCTGGTGTGTGTAACTGCAACTGTTTACTGGTTTCGAACTTATCATGATCATATGCTCACAGGCCAGCCCTGCTCGGAGTCTGCATTCCGTCAGAACCTCCTCTGTATGTAGAGGTCTCTCCAGAACCTTCTACAAACGATCCGCCCCATCCTGACGAGCGTCAAGTACGTTTGGACATTGACCAGAGCTTTGTGATGTATTCCGTAGGCAATGTATCTCATGGCTACTTTTCTACGAGTGTTCGAACATGTCACAGGCAGACGATAATGACGATAGTCGCCGAACTGTATTGCAAACTTCTCTCCACAGTTTGATCGTTTCCCTCCTCAGGAAGCGTCGAAAGTTGTACTATTTCCAAGGATACCATGGCATTGTCACTGTTGTCTTTCTAACTCTTCCACCAGAACTTCAGCTCCCTTGTATAGAAAAGCTTTCCCTCCATCGATTGAGGGACTCTATGGGACCCACGTTAGCCTGAGAGCCTGTATTGGGACTTCTCCGGATCACACGTAATCTTCTGCATACTATCGACCCTAAATATGCAATGTTGCTTGAGAGGTATCTTAATGCATTCCATGCCTTGCCACACTTTGTTTGTTAATGCATTATACATTGCTTCATAGCATTGCACCCCTACTGTTCCATGTCTTATCAAATCTTCTCACCCTCTTCTCACACGAGGTACCCACCCTACCCCTTATTCAGCATGTCTGGGATTTTCTGCTCTGCCAGAAACCTTTGGCAGTGGTATGGCTAGCCGTCACTGTAAGTGCTTTTTCATACGGAGACTGTCCAGCCCCAGGAGGCAGCAAACGGACCGCAAGTGGTGAGATGGACAAAAAAATGTTATACCTGTACCCTAAGACGGGTCCAGGAATGCGAGAACTAGGCATGATCAGATGTATGGATACGTATGATACAGGTTGTGTTCATCAAAGACAATGTACTACTACTAGTAGTCACGGTTTTACTAGTACAGTAATTGAACTTGAATGCGTGTCTACTTGTATTGATCAGAGCTTCGATGTAACTACTATTACCGCAATGACTCGGATGAACAACAAATCAAAACTTTTCAATGGGAAGTGAAACATAAATGAAAAGCATCAAACTAAAAACATAGCGTGAACTTGAACGTCCTTGCAGAATCAATGCCTCCTACTTCCCATGCTAAACCTTTCAATGCTTGTTCAAACCTTTGCTACCGTGACTGTGACCAGCTCTGGGCTTTTTGTCACCCTTTGAGGATTTGGACTTGCCAGTGATGGAATTTTTCTTGGGCTTACTGGAGCTGGACTTGCTACTACTAGCAACCGCCGGGAGATTAGAACCAGACAGGATGGAATCTATCATGACGGTTTGAAAGACATGATATGAAGGAGGCTTTGAGGCGCTGGAACGCTTGGTGTTGTCATGATCTTGCTCCGATTCCGACGAAGGCTCGTATGATGAGTCACGCTGGCGTTTCGCGCCTCTGAAACGTACAGGTGCCAGTTGATGTAGCGCAGGTGTGCTGTAAGATCAACCGCGGACATAGTCCTAAATGCAACAAGCTCCCAGTCAATGGGAAACGGTGGAATGACGAAGTTTTGGAGAACAGAATTGTCGATAGTAGATGCGTGTTTGATGTCCTTCTGAAAGGTGAGGAAGAGGTCTCTCATTTTTATCATGGCTCGGTTGAGGATCTCCGTCACTCCATCCATGTATAATTCAGGTACCAGGATCTTGATTTAATATAGTTAAAACATCTCGCATAAACTATAATGATAACTTACCCCATGGGCCCTGTGCTCCGCCTTGCCGCTATGCATGTCGATAGGTTCGTCTTTCTCTCCTTTCAACCACAGGAAGTATTCAACCGATCTAACATGGCACCATGTATGATCAGCAATCATGACAGGCTCCTCGAAGTTACGTGGCATAGAACACTTGTTGATGAACTCCTTGAGAGAGAGAGGTTCAGGGTTTTTGCATAGATCGCTGTCCTTACGGTTATGCAACGTGTTTGATGCGGTAGAATTGTCCGCAGGCGAGTCGTAAGGTTTGACTTCGCATACGAGGACGATCGACACTAAGACCGCCTCTGGATGTACTGCGATCATGGACTCCACTTTTTCAAATACGTGATCCCAATCCTCCGACACAGCAGTCTCTCCTATGAATGGAATAAGCTCAACTTCCGTGGGTCCCTGGGTTGCGGTCAACGAGATCGTCATATCAGGCGTTACTGACTTGTCTGTGATATGAAGTGGGTAGTTCATGTGAATCTGCGGGTATATTGCCCTGCGATTGTAGGGAAGATTCTCTATTGCAAGCGTGAATGATTTCTTTAAGTCGTCATAGAATGCTTCATGTAGAACAGTGGGCATATCGATGATGAGGAGATGTTTGTTATAGTTGTAAGTTAGCCTGGTGAAAATGCCCAATTTAGCATTACGCAAAATAGATTAGTGTGATAGACTCGACCTGGGCTTTGATGTTACTCGGCCCGTTTCCCTCACCGCGTGTTCTAATAAATCGAATTCTCGCAGTCCCATGCCCAGAAATTCCTATAATATTTGGTAAGCAATTTGACCATGACGCTGGGTGGCAAAAAACTTACCATGCGGCTTTTTGCTGGAGTCGGTCCAGTTAAATAATTCCATGCCTCCCATACAACTTCGACCTAATTAGAATGCAACAAATACTAACTTTCATTGAACATACTGGGGGTAAAGTGTTCAGCGCTGTAGAACTGCTGAACATCGTCATCATCCACGTCATCACACAAAGGAATATCCGAGTCTAAGGCAAGGGTAGTCCGAGTCACAGTAGTAGGAAGTTCATCATGATCATCTTCACTGGCAGGTGCTGTGTTGTTCTCACTGGTAGGTTCTTGTACCTCCTCTTCTACTGGCATGGCCACAGGCAGGGATGTTTTGATAAATTGTTCTGCAATTTTGTTTCTCAGCAGCAAATCTGGTAATACAGAATGGAAATGTATGAGATTGGACTTGGAACCTGAGTTGTTAGTGAGCGTACTGGCACTCAGGCTGGCAGCCACAGCAGACTTGGCGGGGGATATCACCTGTGGATGGGTGAAGTTACTGATATCATAGTGTTTGCATTGATTAGAGGGCTTTGAGGAGAAAGAAGTGACATTATGCTTAATGTCAGAGCAGGCTACTATGGCGGTAGGCATGACTGTTGGATGAGTTGCCCTCGTCAGTCATCACTGTGACACTGGCAGGTAACTCGAAGAAGCTCCGAAAAGATAATCGATGAGATTACAAATGATAACGATCATCTTGGATGCCACGGCAACTGCCAGTTTTCAAATGAACTTCGAAGCCTGAGAACTTCAACCGTCCGGGCTGTGGCCCAGTCCTGCCAGTCAGACTCGGATAAATATCTTTGACATTACTCTGAGTCTCGGGTCAATGGCATGGATAGATATCACGGTCAGTCCGAGTTTGACTTAGCTTGTTATTGTGAATGCGATGACTCATCAGCATCACGACACAAACCAGTTCGGAGGCGAGCATCGACTCAGAGTTATGATAGAACCGAAGAAGTCTGACCCGTTGCGCTCGACTCAAAAACTTCGAAGTCTCCGAGTCAGGCTTGGCATGGGCTTAGTACTACTAGTACCAGTGATCATTTGAGCTGCCACTGTCGCCTGCAATGACGTCACTTAGTATCATGATAGCGAGTTCAATCTCAATCTGACTCAAAGGGTTTAACTTCGTGAACTTCACTCACTGGCAAGCCTACCGTATAAGTAGGTCATCATCGTTGACCGTTTCATGACTGACTTCCGACCCCTTCAAGTTAGTATTGTCATGTTAGCAGGACCGCACGATGTCCTGCTATGACACGGATGATCATGATTAGTATGATAGAGGCTCGCAATCGAGTACCTGGTAGTCACCGTCACGGTATTCCAAATCTAGCACTTCTGGGCCAAGTTTCAAGTTGGCCGCATGCCAACCGAAAAGTTGACTCACGGATGATCATAACCGCCAGTCATGGTCATGGTGGCAGATCTAGTTACCAGTACTATTCACGCACACAACTCGTGTTTGAAAAGAAGAGGACTTTCGATACATGCGTTTTACGCACTGGCAGCCTCGCACTAGCCTCGTGGGATAAAAACTCGGCAGGGATCAGTCACGGTTCAACCCCAGGCCCTACTAGTAGCCGCACCTTTTACACGCCCGCCAGGCCAGTGAGTTTTAGCTGAGCCTTTACAAACCTCAGGTAATTTTAATTTGTTCACTGATTCACTCATGGAATCATATTTCCGCCGTTCAAAGCTCGGGCTGACTCGGAGAGGCTATTCAGGGTTGAAGAATCTCACTCAGCAGCAGGCATCAGGGAGTTCTGGGTATGTGATTGAATTTAATCAACGGATCTCTGACATAATAGTAGGTGACTGTAGTCACGCGGTACAGCCAGACTTTGCATTCATGATCATTATCATGATGGCCATAATTCCTGCAATCATAGTAAGTTTAAATACACTGGACCGATGTCAATCATGCACTTGGAGGGCACCATACGTTTTGACCGTCCAAGTTGTCATCCTGAATGCCAGCAGGTAAGAATTCCCCTTCGACTAGTGATGCATTAGGTTGACGGTGACTAAAAATTGGTACTGTGATCATTACTAGACCGCAGCGACCGTGGCAGTCGCCGTGACAGTCACCGCAAAGATGCTCAACAAAGCTACACATTCATTGAAGTCGATTATGCCACGTTGGTCGTACTTTGGAGCAAGGCAGTGTGTTCGAAAAGGCAGGATTTCAGTTCTGAAATCTTTATGTCAAATGTGAACGATACAGGCACCTTTCAATACTACAATCCGCTCAATCAGGCGTCCAGTTCCTCCCAGCCACCCCTACATTCTCCGAGTCTGCCTTCCCCCAGGCCACCATCACCGCCCCCGCCACCCCCATCCCCACCCGTTATACCCATGCTATTTCCCCAATCACCACTCGTTTTGCCGTCCCCATTCCCCCAATCACCACTCTTTTTGCCATTCCCATCACCCACATTCTCCCCGCTATCGCCAGGCCCATCGAACTTGTCACCCACATTCTCACCTTTTGTGCAACCAGAGTTCGCAGTGACCGCCGCGGCCACGGCAGGGATAGTGGAGGATGTTTGGGTTCATCAACAGCTTGAGGATGATTTGGGCATGGGTAGCATGTGGTATTTTGGACGATTCCATTGAAGGTTTAGCAGTACTGGTACTAGTAGTTACTACTAACCCTCACCAATTCCTGAGACTTTACCGTACACCCACTGTATAGTCATACGGTCACCGTAACTCAGGCTACTGTTCAAGTTACCATTACCTCACATACCCAGACCAACCATACTGTCACTACCGAGTTTCAAATACTACTACTACTACTGCTTAGTATTATTACTGTCATTACTGAATTACATAGCCTTCAAGTTGCTCAAGTTGTCTGACTCCCACTGCTGCGGCTGCGGCCAGCTTGAACATCTCTGGGCCTGGGCCAGCCTAAAGCGCTCAGTGCGTCCCCATTAGGGAACTCCAAATATGGACATAGTGGCAGCCTCAGTATCATCCGCCGGGAAAACCATGTCCTAGTGAAATTAAATAGATTAAATGAATATACTACGTCGCCAACTCGTTAGTGTGAGTATACTCCCGGCTACATGCCAATTTAAACACCGATGGTTACTCCGATCAAAAATCATCATTTAAACGATATGACCCACTTCCTTATGGTAATGGGAATAATTAAATTGTTAAACCCTGTACCTCAACTCGAGCTATCTACCAGAATGTCATCGTCTTCGATGTCCTCTCACCTCAATAATGATAACATGCCCCCAGCTCCCATAATCATTTCAACCATGGAAAATGCGGGGCGGAAACGAGAGTTGCAAACATATATGGTACGTCAAATAATCTCGTTTCCCTGTGCAGCGAGCATTGATTCCAAATGTTTGTGTAAGATGTCGCTTGATGGAATCGACATGGAAGACGACGAGCAGGATATGCTGTTCGCCAAGTACAGCGTTGACACGGTGTATCTAAGCTACTTGGCAGCGCGGAACCGAGTCCGCCAATACACTCAACTTTTGGCACTCCTCAAGCGCAAAGAAGACGCATGGCTACAAAGAGTTGAGAAGGCCAAATATGCGGTGCCGGGTTACAAGCCTGAGCCTGAGGGGGCGGTTATCATGCTTCAAGTCTGAAGATGATCTTTACTCATTTGTTCTGGGAAATTTAATCGCCATGACATACTACACATTCTCTCTAAGAACATCTCAGTCGTCTTGCCAGTGTAAGTTTGTAGTACCCTTGCATTTAACTTAAAGTACTTTTCGTCATATTCCGGTGTCTACATATACCAATGAATTCAAATACTAAATGGACCCTTGCTCGAACTCAAAGTCCAATGATGTTGCAACTTGCAATAACTTCAAGCAACTTCTCTCATCATGTAGTACATACGACTGGTATCGTATTATCATGATAATGTCAATATCGTCGCAGCAAGCCTGAGGGTGTTGGTCGCAAATCTGGCATGAGAATTTCGACTCTTGGCAGCTGCTGTCACGGTAGTAAAGTTACAGGCTCAGGTATTTTGTGCCGCACCACTAACGCATCACTGTTGCACCACACCGAAACATACATTCAACGCTCGTTTCCAACAACTACCGTAATCATACACAAGATAATTGACCTAGCAGTATTACTCGTCGAATTCATCAACTATGCGCCTCTCAGACATGCCTTTGAGAGGCTGAATTTAGAGGTCTGTCTGTGATGGACGTAGACGTTGATCTGGAGTGCCTTGGTATACGAATGTTCGAACTCTCGTTGGCCGCAAGTGCTGCAGGGAATGAACAATGAGGAAAAGACACTGGCACGCACCAAGACTGATGGAACCCATATGAGGGTCTCTCAGAGCACTGGAATCATGGTGATTGAGATCCGTATGCACCAGAATTTGAAGGAGAACTGGATGTGCGTCGTTTTCATATTCACGGTGGTGGGAAGTGAGCCTGAAGTCGTTATGAAAGAGAAACATACTAAAAAGCCCAAACCACGGCCACAACCAAGGAAGGTACATGGAAGTACTTGACGTGTGCGAGGATGAGCATGCTGTTGTGCTCGCCTGTGACTGGGTGCATGATATCTATTGATTCATATGTGAGATGCATGATTGTTAGTCCATATATCGTATGATGAGGTGGCACACGTACATATTTCTCCTTGGTCAGACTACTGAGAGCCCACTCGTCAAACTCGGGAGGAGCGTCTACAGCAGTTGCACTATACTTGGTAAGAAGGATGGTATGGTAGTGCATAGCCACCAAATCTCAGAATTGCCACACCCTACCGCGTCACGGTCACTACCGCACCTGGCATGAAGTACTATGATATTCACTGTGATACTACTATAATTCTTACACGAAAACATGTACTATGGTATTTCCCAATTATAAATTATATCTAAGACCTTGGTAGACGACGTAGACATATTATATGCACATATTAGACACTTGTTGTGTAGCCTGAGTACGCTGGATGCGGCAGTGACTCGGACTCTGAATCCGATGCGGCCAAATCCCGGGGCCCAACTTGAAGGCCCTAAAGTTACTACTAGTACCGTCACGCTCATCAACTTGAACTTCGTCTTAGTCACCAGCCTGAGTTACCGTGACTCAGGCTACTACTAGTACTAGTCTTGGTACCTATGCCAGATAATGATCTGACTTTCAGCGGAACTTCCAAGTCGTAGCATGCATCCTTCTCGATCACCTTGGATTCTACTTCTTATTTTCATCCTTTCAAGCTCACTGGCAATCATGGTGTCCTGTGGCGCATTACATTGCTCCTGGGAGAGGGATACAGATTTCCACAGACTTGACAGACATTGCTCTACGTGCAAGTATTATCGACAGGCAAGTACATTAGCTGTGCAAAAAAGGCGGGACCGCGCAAGAGAGTCAGTTCAAACACTACAAAAGTCGACCCTTGCTAACGGCGTAAGTCAATTATTACTTATGATGATGATTGCCCGATGGTTCTCAATGATTTGACTAACCACTCCAATTCATAGCTCAGACCCACCCAGCTCGCAAAAAGTCGTTGCGTCAAACCTATAGCTCGGTGCGAACCTAGGGCGTTGGCACAGTTCTGTGCGCAACAGCAAGGTCAAGTTGGGTCTAACAACTCAGCCAGTACCACTTCTAGTGGTTCATCGACATTTAACAGTGCGCCGGTGTTCCACGACTCGGATAGTTTTGATATCGAAATGGCGCATGATCGTGACAACTTCAAGTTGGACTCCGATGATGAACAGATTGAACAAGATTGTAATATCACTGGTGCGTAACTTCGTAGCATTTGTATTCAAAGTTTGTCCAAATGGTACTCACTAAATGATAGACTCAGTTCAACGCCCTTGGCGTTGCATGATCAGGCTAGCCCCAAGACACTTTGAGGATCTTCTACCTGCCGACGAGGAAATTAACCTTCCGGATTTTCCTGGGAATGAACTGTCTCCTGTACCTGAATCTCAGAATCCACCACAGTGCAGAATTCAAAGGGTCCTTTTGACCTTGTGCGATTCTCTCCAAACAGCATTCACCGTGATCGGACTCTGTCGACAATATCCCAGGCGACCCTCGTTCGAACCTGACAAATTTATTCCGTCTTCATTACTAGCTACATATTGTCCAATGGTCACTGATGCAGGGCCTGATACTTCGTACCTTGGCGTCTCTGCGCTGCCTTTTCCCTTTCCAAATATGACCATATATCACCTGATGACATGGATGAACACCGGCAGTCATCAAAAATCGGAGATTGAAGTGACCCGCCTCGTTAAAGACGTTCTTCAAACGGAGGATTTAAATCCAAAGGACCTAGACGGATTTTCTGTGAAGAAGAACTTGCACTCGTTAGACAATAACGGACGAAAGACAACCGTCACTTTTCCAGATGACTGGCTGGAGACGGATGTAACCCTTGACATTCCGACAAAGTCAAAAGACGAACCGTCTACATCATTCAGCATTCCGGGATTCCATTATCGGCCGCTTGTTGCGGTGATTCGTTCTGCCTTCACTGACATTCAGGCTCATGCATTTCATCTATTCCCATTCAAGCGGCTGTGGAAGGACCCTCTGGACGACCATCAAGAACACATATTTGACGAGCTATATACATCAGACTCCTGGCTAGATGCTCAGGACCAACTGCAAAGGCAGCCAAAAGAACCTGGCTGTTCACTCGAACGTGTTATTGTTGGTCTTATGTTCTTTTCTGATGCGACTCATCTCGCAGCATTTGGAACAGCCAAGGCTTGGTCCCTTTATTTATACTTTGGAAATCTAACTAAGTATGCGCGCTCTGCACCCAAATCCGGTGTGTGCCATCTCATTGTGTTCCTACCTTCGGTGAGTCAGTTGTCTGCCATCGACTTGTATGTCTCTCACACCGTGTTCTTTAGCTTCCAGATAAAGTCAAGGACGTCTTTAGCAACCTACCTCGGATATCGAAAAGTGGTATGGCAGCCCTCCATACGCATTGTCGGCGGGACTTGTTTCACGCATGCTGGAAACATTTACTAGACGCCGAATTCCTTGAAGCATACCGCCATGGAATTGAACTTCGTTGTCTGGATGGCATACTCAGACGGGTATTTCCCCGCATCTTCACTTACTCGGCGGATTACCCAGAAAAGTACTCTCTCTCTTCTTTTCCTTTTGAGACCCTAATCAACAAATATTCCAGGGTTTTAATAGCGACAATTAAAGACATGGGTGCTTGCCCATGTCCACGATGTCTTGTCCCGAAATCTTCATTCGATCTCCTGGGCCTATTTAGAGACATGCGGGACCGTGTAGCTACACTCAGGGCTTATTGTCTGGGGAGGGTGACTCAGGCTCGCAAGCTGATCTATGTGTCGGGAAATACTGTTGATGGGTCGAAGGTTCAGGGAACTCTTGGAGAGGGGTCATGGGTGCCGACCGTGGTGAGTTACTTCGAGTTTATTGGCCTCTGATTTATTCCTGACTTTAGATTAGAATGTGTTTGTAGAGAAACTTGGACATCTGGGATTTGACATATTTCGTATGCTCGTGGTTGACTTTATGCATGAATGCGAGCTAGGCACGTGGAAAGCTTTGTTCACGCACCTCATACGTCTACTCTATGCGCTTCCCGGGGGTGATCGCCTAGTTGCACAACTTGATCAAAGGTTTGTCACATATTGTTCTTATTGATTTGAATGTGATCATATTAAAATAGATTTCGCCTTATTCCGTCATATGGCAATGGTGTCATTCGCAAATTTGCGAACAACACATCGGAAATGAAAAGGCTTGCAGCACATGACCCCGAAGACATTTTGCAGGTCCGTCTTGCCATAGTAAGTGGTCAAAGTGCCATACCACTGACTCATACATTTCAGTGTGCCATGCCAGTATTCGAGGGTCTCTTCCCAGAAGACCACAATGCGATTGTCCAGTCACTCTTGTACAGGTTTGCCCACTGGCATGCCCTTGCCAAACTCAGAATGCATTCTGAAACAACCTTGTCGCTTTTGGAGGAGATATTCAAGAGGCTCTCCTGTCAGCTTTGCAAGTTCCAGGATATCATGTGTGCTGCATTCACCACGTTTGAGTTACCGAAAGAAAAGGCTGCGCGCGACCATAAGGCTGCACGTGAATGCTCAGGTTGCAGTAATCCAGATGCAGCGAGTGCCAATGGCCGAAAGGTGAGGAAATTTAACTTGAATACTTACAAATTTCACGCCATGGGCACTTTGGTCACCCCATTTTAGATACCTCTTAGGTTGATTGTTGTCTATAGAGATTTGTACCTAAGAGGTATGTTTCTGCTGGTCTCTCCAATGTTCCATGGTCCTTCCCTATTATTTTTGTGGACCAAAAGAGGATGTACTGCACATGGACCATAGACCATTGGGACCATGTCATGGCACGTACCACAGGGTATTTTGGACCATATATCTAATGGATTTCCCCAGATATACAGGAGTGTCTGGGGTCACAAACCACCTAGATTTTCATTTTTTGCAA